GCGCGTGTTCAGCCATCGACCTACCGGATATATGCCTTGTAGAGGGCAATCGATTATCGGTATTTCATCGATACCGTGTACTAGCAGGCAGCCAGAGGCTGGTGCACGCGCGTAACCCGCCACCACTCGTAATTATCCACCACCGGTGGAGTATCCCCGGCCGCGAAAGTGATTTTATTTAGCAAAGTCGTGGGCTTCGTTCGGAGCTGGCGAGCAGAACGAACCGGCGCGGCGCTGAACGAAACGGACGGCCGCCTCGATGGCTTGGCGAAAGCCATTTTCAGTTCTGCCCGGTTTCGTCGCATTCCTCGTCGAGTATCCGCATTGTTCGCGCCTGGAGAACGCGTGCCAATTGCTGTTCTTCGTGACGTGTATCACGACGAAGTTGGTTAAAATCGGCTGCGATCGGTTGTCGCGGTTACTTTACAAAACGTTACGTGCGACGGTAACGATGCTATATCAATTTGGATTGTACTCGATGCATTTCGTTGTGACGCTTGCATTTGAAGGAACAAAGTATCAACAGCCAGGTATTAATTATACCTTAAAAGGTTGATATTGATGACAATTGTTATCTTTAATTATACTGTATCGTTCAAGTTATTCTCGGTGTAATAATAGCTTCCTTTTGTTGACAAGAATTTAATACTGATCTCAAAAAAGGAGGAGTTATTGGAGACTTTGAAAGTAAGTCCTACGCAGAGGAATGTATCTTACAAAATACACTATGCGTGTTATCTTAAAAACTTCAGTTGAAAGATTGAAAGACACTCGCTGTTTGGTAGTTTCCAGCGGTGGACGATTGACGCGCAGGGGGCAGGATCGATCATTCACCGGGGTCCTGACGGCAAATCGAGTGGTAAAATCGATTAGCCGCGTCGCCGGGAATCCATTCGTAGGAAATCGACTGCTCGGAAACCCAAATGCTGCATCGAGCATGAAACCGATCCAATTTCAAAGATTCCTTGGCCCATGTCGCCCTCTATATTGGGCTCGCCTACCTTTCTGCACCTGCGAACTGTATCCGACATCCGATACCTTTCTCTTCCCTCCGCTCGGGAATTTCAAGTCGAGTGGAAGATTGTCCCTTCGTTACGAGACGAACTCATGTTCTTTTCAACCTTCGTCCGATCGAATCTTCGCTTTGCCTGCGAGAACGAGAGAGTTTCTCGGGAGAACCGGAGTCGTCGGTTGCACGAGAACGACCAGTCTCTCCCATTATGGGAAACTCTCGATCGAGAATTGATCATCCCGTCTCTCTCAACTGAAACGAATTGAAGTTCGCGTGCTGTGAGACTTCACAGATCGTAAACGAAAATAATAGACATTTTTGCTTGGAAAAAAAGAATGTTGACGTAAGTCTGTTTTAGATCAAGCGATCTATGACGCTTTTAGTCAAGAACTGTGGATCTAACAACTGTTTTATAACATGTATTTAAAAATGTACTTACACAGTGACGAGTAATTGGCTCGGGATTTTATTCGGCTAATTATCATGAGAGGTGTGTTGCTTTGTGTGTGTAGTTTTTCTTTCTGCCATGCATTTGTATTTATGACGTATGATCCGCTCCTCAGAAAATCACTTTCAAGAACTGACGGAGACGAATAATAATAGAATACTGCTGTATTCTAATGTCGCTTATTAGTTAGATTCATAAAAGGAACACGAAGTAACAAATGCGAATTTCTGTTGAATTTTGTTCTTGTTGCTTGAACTATTTCATTCCAGTTCACATTACGTGGTGCCTATGGTTTGAAGTCGTCCAAGTGCATTTTAAATTACTATACATAAATGTTTATAACAAACTTACCGTTTACGTTAGTGCATGCTCAAACGATGATGATATGTTGACACACATTAACAATTGTGACACCTGCTCATTCAATCATCCTTATAGCAGTAACAGTAGAAACTTAATCAATCTGCAAAGAGCTGAAAGATAATTTCACTGTAACTTGAATACACAGCGAATAAAATACTTAATAATTAAAGTCTGTTTCTCTTGAGAAGAGAAACGAATTTTGATGTTTCCTCTTTTTCCAATTATGTGTAATCTAATTCAACGACGATCTTGGATTTTTAATGACAGAAAGGAGGAATTATCTATCATTAATTATTGGCTATTATAATATTATTATATTATTATATTATATTATACTATTATAATATTATTATAATAACATAGTATAATAATATAATGTAATAATATTATCACATAGCATTATCGTCATTTTGTATTTCTAGATAGACATGGTTATAACTACGATAAAAAAAATGATGTTTAGCAGCACGGTCGAACGATGAAGTTCCGTGGGAAGAGAGAAATTAGAAAAACGAAATATCGGGCCCCCGGGGGAGAAGCGAATTCCTCACGTTCCTCGATGCTCTCTTTCTGTTTTTTTTTTTTTTTTTTTTTTTTCTT